ATGACCTGAGCTGACGTTGGATGCTTAACTGACTGAGCCACCCAAGCGCCCCCACAAGTTTTAATTTAACGAGTCTGGTATATCAATTATTTCTTTCATAGATTGTGTTCTATCTAAAAAGTCTTGGTGTTCTATCTAAAAAGTCATCACCTTGTTCAAGGTCATCTAGCTTTTCTTGTCTGTTATAGTGTATGAATTTCTTAGTCTAACATTTTACATTTAGTTCTATGATCTGTTTTGAATTAATTTTTGGAAAGGGCATAAGATCTGTATCTTTATGTCCTTTTTGCATGTGGATGTCTAGTTTTTTCAGTAATATGCATTTAAGCTCCCTGTGTGTCTTTGCATTGTTTAAAAAGACTATCTTTCCTCATTTGTATTGCCTTTGTTCCTTTCTCAAAGATCAGTTACTATATTTATGTGGATCTATTTCTGGGTTCTCTATTCTGTCCAATTGACCTATCTATTCTTTCACCAGTATCACAGTGTCTTGATAACTGTCGCTTCATGGCAATTCTTGATGTTGGGTAGTGACATTCCTCTGACTTTGTTCTTTTCCTTCAATATCGTGTTGGCTATTGTGGCCTTTTGCTTGTCCATATAAACATTAGAATCAGTTTGTTGATATTCACAACACCCTTCTGGGATTTTGACTTAGATTGTGTTAAATCTATAGATCTAGTTGGGAAGAAATGACACCTTGACAATATGAGTGTTCCCATCCATAAGCATGGAATATCTTTCCATTTATTTAGATCTTCTTAATTTTTTTTTCACCAGAATTTTGTTATTCTCATATAAATCTTATACATGTTTTGTTAGACTTATCCCTAAATATTTCTTATTTGGGGTGCTACCATAAATGGTATGTTTTTAATTTCAAATCCCACTTGTTCAATGCCGGTATATAGGAAAGCTATTGACTTGCATGATGATATCTTGCAACCTTGCTATAATTGCTTATTAGTTTAAGTGGGGTTTTGTTGTTGACTTTTTAAAGTTTTCTACACAGACAATGATGTCTTCTGCAAACAAAGTCAGTTTTATTTCTCCCTTCCTTATCTGTATACTGCTAATTTCCTTCTCTTGTTTTACTGCATTAGCTAGAATTTTCAGTATGATGTTGAAAACGAGTGTGAGGGGAGAACATCCAAGCTTTTTTCCCTAATCTTAGTGGAAAAGCTTCAAGTTTCCTACCCCTAAGTATGATGTTAGCTACAGGGTTTTTGTAGATTTTTCTTATTAAACTGGGGAGAAAAAGCATTTTTAAAGCTAACAACAACTATTATATTATATAAACATTGTGTGAAAAGTAGAGTATATACTCCCTTAAAATATTTCTAAGATGATCAGATTTATGCCATGATTCTTAATTCAAAATTGGTTTCAAAAGTCTATGGGTTTGGGGCGCCTGGGTGGCTCAGTTGGTTAAGCGTCCAGCTTCAGCTCAGGTCATGATCTCATGGTTTGTGAGTTCAAACCCCGCATCAGGCTCTGTGCTGACAGCTCAGAGCCTGGAGCCTGCTTCAGATTCTGTGTCTCCCTCTCTCTCTGCCCCTCTCCAGTTTATGCTCCCTCTCTCTCTCTCTCTCTCTCTCTCTCTTTCTCTCTCTTAAAAACAAATAAATAAACATTTTTATAAGTCTAAAAAATTTAATCTTTATTAAGAGGTATAAGAAGCTATCAGTGCCCTCAAGTTGTCTTACGAGTGATGGGAAAAGTGTGCAGTGCCCCATAAGAGGGATTTGCAGATTCTCTCTTATGACTGAAGAAACATTTTCATGTTCTGTGTCAGGCCTCCTCTCTTAATGCTTCTGTTTAGATTTTTACTTCTTTCTTGTTTCCCTGTACCTTCCACAGCCACTTCAGATTCAGGCCAAGGATGCAATTTAAGTTTTACTCCTGGAAGCCTGTGTCAAGACTACCCTTACTTCCACCTTCCATATCTCCATTCTCAGCCTTTCCAGCCCTAGCTTGGCTCCTCAGAACTCTAGTAATAGTCCAGCATTTTAAGTTACAGCTTATTGACAAGAAGAGACCCATGGATGTGAATAGGCTGGACCATTAATACTAAGCAAATCTTTTATTTATGCATTTGTACTTTCTCCTATTTCTGTTTCACGTCTTAACAATGGAATGTATGACATTCTTCATGGGAAATGCTGTGATCATTTACATGTGTTAGGTTCATCAAGTCCTTTTAAAGATTTTACTCAGCTGGGTCCTTCATGCGATAGATTCTAAAAATGCACTATGATTTCGGCTAGTGGAATAGGACTTATTAACTTACCCTCATTCATCATCAAACTTCATGAGATTAACTGTCTCTCAGCACAAGCAGTTTTCATGAGAAACTGTAATACAACCACTGCTTGGGTAAGATAATACCAAAACAAATGAATAGAGGTGCGTTGAAGTAGTATTTCTTGTCATCAAATACTCCTGCCAGGACAACTGTGAAACTTGAAACCACTGGCCAAGCCTCTGCTTCTGAAAAGTACCTGCTTTAGCTTACCAATTTCTGTACATGTTCCTCCTTTCCTCCTCCTCCACCTCCTCCTCATCATCTTCCTTCTAATTAGTAAAGCTGGGAAGGAAAGTAGCATCTTTTTTTTTTTTTTTTTAGTTTACTTATTTATTTTGAGAGAGAGAGAGAACACATGAGTTGGGGAGGGGCAGAGAGAGAGAATCTCAATCAGGCTCCACACTGTAAGCAGGGAGTCTGATGCAGGGTTGGAACTCACCAACCATGAGATCATGATTTGAGCCGAAGTCAGACGCTTAACCAACTGAGTCACCCAGGTGCCTCTCCTTCCTTTCTATATGCTATGTACATGATCTGTCTTCTTTGTCAACTTCTCCCTTTGGATATGACAAAGAAGACAGATCATAAAGAAAAAGCAGGGATGAACAGATTTGGGAGGGAGGGGGAAGGAGCTATTTTAGATAGGGCTTTCAATGAAAGCTCTCTTAGAAACTGATTGTTGAATATAGGCATGAGAAGAATAAGGAAACATGTTGCATGAATACATAAACATGAAAAATTTATAGCTGAAAAATATTCTAGGCAATGAAAACGAGTTCTAATAGTGAGTTGGGAATATGGTCGATGGTTTTTATTATTTATTTATTTGTTTGTTTATTTAAAATCCTTATTTACTTAAATATAGAGAGAGACAGAGTACGAGCAGGGGAGGGACATAGACAAAGGGAGGCAGAACCAGAAGCAGGCTTCAGGCTCCGAGCTGTTAGCACAGAGCCTGACACGGGGCTTGAACTCACAAACCGTGAGATCACGACCTGAGCTAAAGTCAGATGCCCAACTGACTGAGCAACCCAGGAGCCCCTGGTTGATAGTTTTTAAATGGGCGAGGGTGTCTAGGGAAGTGAATGAGAGGAACATGACAGAGAATCAGATCATATGGGACTTTGACCACCATGGGGGGGACACTGGATTTTTTTCTAAGTGTTATGGAAAACCAAAAGGGGTTTGAGAGCAAGAGACTAACGTGACCAAATTAAAAATTTTAAAGGGTTAGTAATCCATATAGTAATCCATATAGTGTGGATTGTAGTGTAAGGACTACAAAAGAGAAAGTAGGGAGAGTGATCATTTGAATTTTGCAGTGGTTCAGGCAAAAGATGGTGTTGGCAGCGGCTGTGGCAGTAGCACTGAGAAGATAAGGAGAGGAAAGGATGAGATAGAGAAGACAGAAGGATGACTCTAGGGTTTTGATTCTGAATAATTGGGTAGTACCAATTTTCTGAGATGGGAAATACTGAGAGAGGAAGAATTTGGGGGGAAGCATTTTGTGTATGTTAACTTTAAGATGCCTATTTAACAACCAAGTGGAGATACCACAGAATGAGTTGGGTATCTGAGGCTGATGATCAGGGGATAGTTCGTACTGGACATGCATGTGAAAATGCATGTCATTTGTGCACTATAGATAATCTTTGGAACCATGGCCCTGGAGAGGATCACCTGCAGACTGAGTCTAGCTAGAGAAATTTTGGGTTGGATCATTGGGGCACACCAGTAAGCAAAGAAGCCAATAAGCAAAGAGAGCCCAGATGAAGTGACTCAGGAGAGAGGAGGAAAGCCTGAGTTTCTACCATATGTCTTTAGACCATACACCCTCAGTGTCTTTGTTAAACCAATTGCTAGAATGTGGCTTGATCACTATTTCTCTATTTCTACATTAGGAACCAACATTTATGCCAATGGTTATTAACAACACAACAGTGGTAATGAAAAGAAGTTTGAGACATCAACTCAGCCATCTCCCTTTTTCACAGAGTGACTAAAAAACATATAATAAATCTGAATCATCCTTATAACCACCCCCATTAAAGTATAAATCTAAATCGAAAAAAAAGAGAACACTTACCATATATTAAATATGTATAATTCTCACTCACTTGGGAGTAAACATAACAAATTACAGATATCCCCAAAATGACTTATGATTGGTGTGGGAATTTACTCTTGGACACAGAGTAATGGGCATTTGGTATACCTACATATGTGCCCACCATGCCTCATATTGATGGTAATCAGGTACTATGTTATGGTAATCAAAGAACAACTTGAACATAGTGGTGAAAACGTCTGAAACTGACTCAGATTATCCAAAAAGGTAGATGACTCAATCATGGATAATCTCAATTTCATTTGACTTTTTGTTGTCTCTTTATAATTCTTTTACCATTGTTCAGTCTCTGGAATTCCCAGCAGACTTAATAGCATTGGTTTAAAGAAATGTTATTAGAAGCAAACATTTAAAATATGGCAAAATCTGAAAGAAGTTTTAAAAGGTTAAATATATACTAAAATTTGAGGTTAATTATTTTTTAAGATGTCTAATTTTGTCAAATCCCCTTGAAGAAATTAAAAAATAACTTTATTTCAGCCTACTAGAGGAAACTGATGTTTTCTCATAGAAGGAAGTTTCCAAGAAAGGAACTAATTAGTCATAAGGGCCATTAAATCTCCTAAAATGAACAAAGGGTTCCACTGGAAACTATATAAATATTCATAAAAATATTACTTTTACTGACAAGATGTCATTTGCTTTATTAAAATCACCTAATTTGAGTAAAGTATCCTCAGAGATATACGAGAACACAGGGTGGTAGGAATATTAAACGTGATAAATTTTTAACACTTCAATCCTCCTCTTTAATACTTCTTATTTTTCCTTTTGTAGCAAATGAGTTCAATGAGTTGCTTTAAAACTTGGAAAATATCGTAATGTGTCCCATCATAGCCTTTGGTGCAATGGCTTATTGGTAATCACCACCTGCTACTTCTCACTGATGGAAAAAGGCTACACTGTCTAGAAAACAGCTTGACAAGCATAGGACGCCGAATTAGCTTCCCTGAGTTCTACTTCCAAGTCATTCAAGGAGTTATAAAGCAGAGTATATAAAACTAGGTTTGGCCTATCCACCCTGGCTGATCTTAGAGAGATAGTTTGGTTTTATTTATTTATGTATTTATTTGCTTGTTTGAAGTTTATTTATTTATTTTGAGAGAGAGAGCAAGCAGGGGAGAGACAGGGGGAGAGAGAGGATCCAAAGCAGGCTCCTCACTATCAGCATAGAGCACAATGGGAGGCTCCAACTCACTAACCGTGAGATCATGACTAGAGCCAAATTCAAGTCAGATGCCTAACTGACTAAGCCACCCAGGTGCCCCAGAGTGATAGTGGGTTTTCGGTTGTGGAATCTGAAAATGTGCTGCTGGATTCCAGGTATAGCAATTATTTATAGTAGAGCTGATGTTTTCTTAATTAAAAATAGAGGACTTAAAAATCATCTCAGATATGTGAATATTTTTCCCTCATAAATTTATGTTTCTCTAGAAAAAATTAGACACAACATATCCTAAAAACTGGCACTAAGCATGTGTCAAAGTTTTAAAAATTGCATAAAGAAAGGAAAAAAATGCTTTCTTCTAAAAACTACAACTTTCACTTTAATTTTTGCTAACCTAGTCTCTGGTAGGATGTTATTTCTACTCTTGGAAGCAAAAGGTCAGACGTTAGAATGTCATTAGAATTGATCTACTTTGGTGCACCTGGGTGGCTCAGTCGGTTAAGCATCTGAATTCAGCTCAGGTCATGATCTCACAGTCAGTGAGTTCGAGCCCTGCTTTGAGCTCTGTGCTGACAGCTCAGAGCCTTGAGCCTGCTTCGGATTCTGTGTCTCCCTCTGTCTCTGCTCCTCCCCTCCCCTCCCCTCTCTCTCAAAAATAAATAATCATTAAAAAAAAAAAAAAAAAAGAATTGTTCTACTTTGTTAAAAGATATATTACTGCAGAGGACCCCAAATCTGTTTTACACACATGTCTCAGAAGCAGAAATAACTATTCTTAAGATATTGGCAATTTTCACCAGGCTCAAATTATGCTAACCTTTTAAATCACATACAAATTAATTTAATTACTTCATTAATTTTGAAATTTCATATTATTTCCTGTTCCTCATTTCCAATGTTTCTGTTATTTTGGAAATATCCATACATTGGGGGGGGGGGTTTAAACAACAAACATTTATTTGTCACAGTTCTGGAGGATAGGAAGTCCAAGATCAGGCTGCTAGCAGATTTTATGTAGAGTGAGGACACTCTTCCTGGTTTTCAAACATCTACCTTTTTGCTATATCTTCACATGGCCTAGAGAATGAAGGCCCTGGACTCTTCGTCTTCTTACAAAGACACTAATCCAATCATGGGGACTCCATCCTCAAGATCTCATCTAAGTCTAATTACTTCCCAAAGGCCCTCTCCAAATACCATCATGCTGGGGTTTAGGGCTTCAACATATACATTTTTGGTGGTGGGGGTAGACACAAACTTTCAGTCCATAGCAGCGTCTTTTTAAGGACTTAAATCAATAATAATAATGCCAACAATATCAACTTTTATTTATGTAGAATACTTGCTCTGAGACAAGCACTGTCCTAAGGATATTTTATATATAGAAGCTTATCTAATCCTTACAACAACTCTACAAGGTAGTATACTCTTATCACCTCCATTTTACAGATGGAGAAATAGGAAAAGTGATATTAAGTAGCTTGCTTGAGGTCATTAGGATGGGAGGCTGGCCAAACAGATTTAAATTTAGTCTGATTTCAGAGCCTACTCGCTTAACTGACATGCTCCATAGTATTTATTTACTTCTATGTTTTTAACTTATTAGGATCTTTAAAAAAGGGTATGGTACATAATACTAAGGAAAGCAATCTCTAGTTTTTGCTCAATAACTGATCATTAGCTCTAGTAAGTCTTAAAAATATAACTAACTTCTTCAACAACCAGGGCTCGTCTGCAAATCAGTGAATGTGTTTCAGGGCTCTACACAGTTACTGATTTATTTATTTATTTATTACTGCTGAGTTGGGATAATGTGATGGTCTTTGTGAATAGCATGCAGGTAAGTGCATGTAAGAAACACGTTTTTTCTAGGCAGGATAATTAAGGAGAAGGTACAGATTAGAAGCAGCCTGGGTAGGCCAAATTTCTCTCTAAATCTGGGGGATGTTTTTACTAGCAGTATCTGACTTAACTCAGGAAATTTTTAACCTTGCTGTTCAGTTATGGAGTTTCTATTATGAATTAAGTATACTTTATAATAATTATGGGTTTCCCTGGATAGCTCAACAGTATATTAGTAACAAGAATTTCATTAAAATGACCCATATCAAAACAAGGAATAAAGCATGTTTTTATGTTTCTTTTATGTCCTCTTTTAATTTCAAAACCATTTTGATTATTCATCCATGGATATTTTAAAGAAATCCCTGGGAAAGTCTTCTATACTATTAATTTTCAGTTGCCCATAATAGTGTTCTTTGCTGGTCTTCAAAGAGCTTTTCAACAAAATGTTACATTAAAGAAAATGGCAGCTATCACCAACCGTATCGTACAGACAATCGCTCCTGACACAGACATATAATGGTCTTGCATGATATTACAAAACAAATTAGTTTCAGAGCTAGACTGCCAATTTAATCTGTATCCATGGCATAATATGATAAAAAAGTTAAAATTCCTGTAAAATACAAATAATAATAACATCATGAAAATATCTGTTGTAGGGCACAATTCGAGGACATATAAATGTGCCTTTAGAGAATTCTTCAGCTTACAGGGAACTTAGGGAACAATCTTCTCAAATTTCCTGGTAATTTACAGGTAAAAATGAATTGATTTACCTAAAGCTGCATAGTTTTCTCATGATAAAGTACTAGAATTTCATTTTATGTTCATTCTACAGGTATTGAGAGGTTACTACATGCCAATTTTCTGCTGTGTGGCAGGAATTCAAAGATGACTAATGCACTAGTATTGGTAGTAGGAAAGAAAAAGAAGGTAAAAGAATAATTGTATTTTGGCATGATTGTTTTATGAGAGTAGAGAGTCCATTTCTATCTCTGATACTGCCCTGCCTCATACCACTGCCTCCTTGCTTTCCAAGTCAGGAAAACAAATGTACTATTGTTACAATGGTTATTTTTTCTTTCATTTTTAAATATGTTTATTTTTTTTTTTTGAGAGAGAGTGAAAGTGAGCATGGGGGGGCAGGGAGAGAGAGAGAATCTCAAGCAGGTTCTGCACTCTCAGTGCAGAGGCTGATGCTGGGCTTAAACTCATGAACTGTGAGATCATGATCTGAGCTGAAATCAGGAGTTGGCCGCTTAACCAACTGAGCCAC